AGAATAGAGCCAGCAATACTAAAGCTCAGAATGGACTGAGTCTGACCAGGAGAGCTATGAACAAATTTCCATGTTTTAAAAATATTGGGGGAAATAGGAAGATCAAAGAAGAACAGCTATTTGGGGTGGATTGGACAATGATAACTGACAATTGAGATAATTATTATAGCTAACATGGATGTAGCACTTTGGGACTTGAAGAACACTTTACATATATTATTTCATGATAACTCTAGAGTGAGGTGCTATTGTTATCCCCATTTTGCAGATGGGGAAACTGAGGCTGAGAGAAGTTAAGTAACTTGCCCACAATCAAACAACCAGTAAGTGCCTGGGGCAGGATCTGAACCCAGGTTTTCCAAGCTCCATGTCTAGAATGAAGACAGAATTGAGTCATCCACCAATTTGGTTTCTGTTTTCTCTCAAGAGAAACATTTCCCTGACAATTTCTCTGGCAATTTTTGGATTGGCAAAGACTCCCCAATATCTCTAATAGAAAGTATGGTACCGATGATAAATAGGGAGATAGTTAATGAGCACTAAATCATGAAGATAGGGGCAGCTAGGTCACACAGTGGATAGAGCACCAGCCCTGGAGTCAGGAGGGCCTGGGTTCAAATCTGACCTCAGACATTGACTGGTTGTGTGACCCTAGGCAAGTCACTTCACCCCATGTATTAGAGTCCATCACCCCCAACCCTTTCTCCCCAGGCTCTATGTGGTTCCCTTTTAGTTCCTTCCCTTTAGCCTCTTCCTGAAGCTCTGGTAGAACATTCGGGGTCCATTTATGAAAAATGTCCTGCTAATGGAAAACAGCCTGAGAAACGCATCATCTAGGATGTTGCAGGGCTGAGAAACTGCCCTATGAGGACTGGTGGAAGGAGTTGGAGACCTTTTTAATCTGGAGAAGAAAACACGTGGTAGTGAGGACTGACCCAAAGTATTTGAAGATACTTGAAGATTCAAGAGGAGCCTAAAAGTATTTGAAGGGCTGTCCTGTGAAAGGAGAAAAAAGGATATGACTTTTTCTGACTGTTTCCAGGAGGCAAAGTCAGGAGGAATGGTGGACGTTGCTAAGACCTAAACGTAGGCTTGATGTCAGGAAATAAAAATAAAATTCTTAAAGAGGCAATTCTCTTAAATAGGAATGGGATGCCTCAGGAGGTAATGAGTTTCACTGGAAACCTTGAAGACAAGGCTCAGTGACCACATCCTGGATGTACTGTAGAATCAAGTCAACAATCATTTAGTAAGCACCTAGTAAAGGCACCGTGTTAAATTTTAAGGATACAAAGAAAGACAAAAATAGTGCCTGCCCTCAGGGAGTACAAAATCTGATGGAGAAAACAATATGAAAATAACTATGTACATATGAGATACATACAATGCAAGTGGGAGGCAATCTTGGAGGAAAGGCATTAATATTAAGGGGGACCAGGAAGGCTTCTTGTAGGTGAGAGTTTAGCTGAGACTTGATAGGGATTCTTGTACCATCGTGTGTTAAACTAGATGCCTTCTGAAGTCACTTTTAGCTCTGAAATTCTCTGATTTGGTGAGTTAGATGGAATGATGGTCATATTTGATAGGTGTTCCCCAAGACTGGCTCTTAGGATGAGAGATGGCTAAGGGGAAAAACTTTCATAATCCAGGATAATTATGTCACACAATTTTTGACATAGCCTAAGTCACCCTTCCAGGAAGAATTTTGGAGCTCAGAGACTCATTCTGTGAGTTAGCTGAGGGAGCCTCTAGATGAAATCTTTAGATAGGCCCATGTTTTGTTTTGTTTTTTTGTATTTCTTAGAACACACACAACCGCAACTGAGTCCTCATTGGTAGTAGATAATCCTTCTAGGCCTCTGTTACCAATTCACCCTCTCACTTTCCACATTGGTTTTTCCAAACTCTTTCACTGCAGAGCAGTGTCATTATAGATGTTAGACATATAGATGTCATTATAGAGTTAGACATGGGAGTGGGCCGGTAGGTAGCACAGTGGATAGAGTCAGGGAGACTCCTCTTTGTGAGTTCAAATCAGGCCTCAGACACTCGCTAGATGTGTGAACTTGGGCAAGTCACTTCACCCTGTTAGCCTCAGTTTCCTCATCTGCAAAATAAGCTGGAGAAGGAAATAGCCAACCTCTCCAGTATTTTTGCCAAGAAAACCCCAAATGAGGTCACAAGGAGTCAGACTAGACTGAAAAACAACTCAGGAAAAACAATAACAAGGAAGGCATGTATGGATGTCAGATCTTTTGTTTTTCTCAGAAAAAAGTGAGTTTAGAAACAACAACAACAAACTGATAGAGGATTTGGAGCTTGCCTGGCCTGTCCTGCTGTAGAGGAGGTGAGACATCTTGGTTTGTTTCAGGACTGATACAATACATTCCATTATGGGTTTCCTGTTTTTTCCCTCTCTTTGGGGGAGGTGACAATTATAGGGAAGAGAGAATGGCTGCCCTGGGTCTGATTATGTGTGGTGTGCAGGGATGTCTACAGGCCTGTGGGTGTGAAAGAGAGAGGACGTAAATATAATAGGGAGAAATGGGCTGGGGCATTTAGGCCCACAAGTGACTGACGTGGAGTGTGACTGTATGCTGGGAGGGGAGGAAGAGAGCTGCCTATCCCAAGGTGTCCTATTGTGTCCAAGAACGGTCACAGCTGCATCAGAGCTGTGTCATACCTAGAAATTGTTAGAAAACCCTTGTTGAGAGAATGAGAAACAACATGATATGGTAGAATTTGGAGGTAGAGGACCTGGCCTCATAGCTCTGCTCTGTCACTCATGACTTCAAGACCAGGCAATTCATCTTATTTCTTAGAGCCTTGGTTTCCTAACATGTAAAAAGAGTGTTTTGGATAAGATGGGAATAAAGTTAGTCTGCAAACTGTTCAAACATTGGTTTCACATCCTGCCCTCTATAGGGGATAGTCTACAGATATGATCAGAGATTGATGGGGACATTAAGGGATAAGATATTAAAGAGCAAAGTCAGATGCGTTCTCATCCTTCAAGTTTCCCCCCATATAGCTCATCTTTCATGCTGATGTCCCCAGGCACCTCAGCTAAATGTGATATTACCCTGCCCTAACTTCCTATAGCAGGATCTGTGAACTATTTTTAAAAATTTTAGTAACTGCATTTCAGATAGTCAGTCAATAAGTGTTTATATTTCAATATGATTTATTTTATTTGTAATCCTGTATATTTTATTTTGTTCATTTAAAGACATTTTACTGAAAGGGGACTGTTGGCTTCCCTATGGACCATGCATGATGTACATCATGGACCCCACAAAAAGGTCCATAGCACACATAAAGTTAACAGCCCCTGTCCTATGGTATGTTGTCTACACCTTTCTGAAACTATTTTTCCACCTTATGTGACACAGTAGAAAGGCTGTGTACAGGAGAGCAGAGAGCTAGGCTAAGAGCCAGGAAGGCCAGTTTCCACGTCCAGCCGCTGACACAGAATTGCCATGTGACCCTGAGTAAATCACTTAGCCACTAAGTGCTCAGGCAATTTTCTAAGACTATAAGTTGTATAAAAACTACTGACCTGCAGTGATGGGAGATTCATCATGTAGGGGAGGGGTTCAGTCCTGATGTAATAGATCACACCCTGAGCTTAGCACAGTACCTGGAACACAGTAGGTGTCTAATACATGTTTATTGATTGATTAAACTTTTTACTCTTTTTTTATACTTTTATTTATTTTTAATTTTCAACATTCACTTTTATAAGATGTTGAGTTCTAAAATTTTCACCCTCCCTCCTTGCCGTTCCCCCTACACAAGATGGCCTGCAATCTGATATAGGCTATACATGTACCATTATACTACACATATTTCCACATTAGTCATGTTGTGAAAGAAGAATCAGAACAAAAAGGGAAAACCACATGAAAAAAAAGAGAAAATAGTATGCTTGGATCTGCATTCAGACTCCATAGTTCTTTCTCTGGATGTGCATTGATTAAAGTTTAAAAAAAATTGATAACTATTTCAATATAATTAGTTTCCTTTTTAATCCTATGTACGTTATCTATCTAAGATATGAGAGATATAATACTCCTAAATACTAACTACACTAAATATAGTAAAAATATTATTATTAAATACTACTTCAAAAAATTACTAAGGAGTTCGTAGATTGCACCAAATTGCCAAAGGGGTCCATGACACAAGGAGATTGAGATTCTTGCCCTAAGGAATTCCAAATGCCAGTGAAATCATTGGTCCAGTCCCCCATCCCTATATGGCACAGTATTTATTTGTGTACTTGTCTATAATCTACAACGTTACAGGCTCCCTAAGGCTGTTTCATTACCTTTTATATTCCAGCAGCCTGAAGGCTCAGAACTTTGTGCATAATACTGGCTCAACACATTTTTGTCAAGTATTGAAAGAGCGGTTGAATGAATGAATGAGTGGATGAATGAAAAAGCCAATTACCCCCGAAACCCAAAGTCCTCAGTGATAAAGAGACAGAGAGAATTAGGATGGAAAGTAGAGCCACGGACTTCATGAGGATTCCTCAAACTTCTCTGTGAGTAGGGGGCCATTAATTTCCAGAAAGGACTTAACTTTCTGAAATCACTAATTTTATAACCGTTTCTTGGAGGATGATATCCTTCTACTCTACCATGAACTGGTGTAATGAAAGAAGCATTGACTTTGGTAATGGAGGACTTGGATTCCAATCCTAGCTCTTCTAAATGTTGCCTGGGTGACCACAGGCGAGTCATATACCTTCTTTAAGCCTCATTTTCTTCATTTCTATAATGGGGGGCTGGAGTAGATGATATAGAAGGTCCTTTCCAACTCAGTGGTCCATGTAGTGGCTATGACTAAGAAGTTGAAGAATGTCAGGAATGATCTGACACATGCCATGGGTTGGGGAAGGCACTCTTCCTTCTAGAGAGCTGGGTGGCATGCCAAAAACTCAGTCTGGGATGGCCTATAAAAGGTGTCCCTGCCCCTGGCTCCTCACTCATTCTGGTTCTTCAGCAGAGAGATCCTGTCCGTGTCTGTGATCAGGGTGAGTGTCTGCATGAGAGGCCAGGGGAGGCTTGGAGGAGGGTGTTGGAGGAAGGAAAGAAGAGAGCGCAAAGCAAGGGGAGAGAGGAGTAGGAAGGGAGAAAAAGGAGAAAATAAAGCACTCAGCACATGCTTGGCACATAGTAGGTACTTAATAAATGTTTATGGAATGAATGAAAAGGAGAGAGGGGCTGAGAAGAAAACAGGGTGAACTGAGTGAGAAGTGCAGCAGCTGGTGAGGAATAGAAATTTGTGCTTTGGATTTGGGGTCCATTGGACAGAGTGTTGGAACTGGAGTCAGAAAGAGCTGAGGTCACCTGAGTTTCAAGGATGTGAAAAACTCCATTATTGTCTTTCAGGTTTCCTAAACTCACCCAGAGATGTCCTACCAGCAAAACCAACAGCAGTACCAGCCCCCTCCCAAATGCCAGACCCCCAAGTACCCTCCCCAGGCTCCATGCTCTGCTCCTGTCTCTTCAGGCTGTGGGGCCAGCTCTGGAGGATGTGGTAGCTCTGGAGGATGCAGTACCTTTGGCTCTGGGGGTGGCTGCTCTCTCTTTTCTCATAATAGGAGAACCCCCAGATGCAGGGGCCAGAGCCCTGGCCACTGTGACAGTGGCTGTGGCCGCAGACAGCAGTCTGGGGGCTGCGGTGGTGGCTCTGGGGGCTGTTAGTGACCTGCTGCCCTTGGCTGAGGAGCAGAATTTCAGGAATCAAGAGACGCCACTGACCAGCCTCCTCCATTCCCATCCCTCCTCCTAAGCTGCTGAGATGTCCTTTGGGAAATGGGAGACTCCAGGACTAACCCTTCATCTCCTCTCAAATTCCCCAAATTTCAGTGTTGAATCCAACCTTCTCTGCCTCAGTTATCTAATGCAACAGTAAAACTCTATCTGGTCAAAGATGCCTCCTACTCTCTGCTCTTCTTTCTTAAACATCAATGGCTCCCTTTTGGTCAAGCACCACTCTACATAAAGTCTGTCACTTAGTTTCAAATTCAAAGGTGCCAGCCCATGTTGGAGGGAGGGGGGAGAAGGAGAAGTTACTAGAAAGTAGTTTATGCATAATTGACCTAAGATGATTAGTGGACCACAAGCTCAAGATGAGATAGCCACCTGATGAGCTGGCTGAGAGGGCTGATGTGATTTGGGGCTTCCTGAATAGAGGAATTGTGTCTACAGACAGAGAAGTGATAGTTTCATTTTCCCCAGCCCTGATCATTCCATATCTTCATTGTGACATCCAATCCCAGATGCCACTCTAAAGGTCGAATATGTTGAGAGATGATTGGGTAAGAAAGAAAACTTAGAGGGAAACCAAATGTCACATTCAGATTTTTAAATGGCCATCATGGGCAATCCATGTTCCCCAAGACTGCCTCTTAGAATGAGAGATGGCTTTCTAAGGGGAAAAACTCTTTCACAATCCAGGATAATTATGTCATGCAATGTCTGACATATCCTAGGTCACCCTTCCAGGAAGAACTTTGGAGCTCAGAGACTCAGTCAGAGAGTTAGTTGGGGGAGGCTCTAGATGAAATCTTTAGAAAGGTCCATGCTTTTTTTCTATTTCTTAAAGAACACACAACCTCAACTGGGTCCTCATTGTTAGTAGATAATCGTTCTAGCCATCCCTTATCAATTCATTCTTTCACTCTCCATATCAGATTTTACAAACTTTTTCATCCTTTTTTAAATCTCCCTTTCTCCCACTCTTCTTTTTAGCTGAGAAATTTGCCTCATATTTTACAGAAAAAAAAATTGATGCCCTTCTTTGTAAGTTTTCTTTTCACCTCTCCTTCTTTTCTCACGCCCCTCAGATGTCACCTGTCATTATTTCTTTCATCCTGTCTCAAAAGCTGGTGACTTTGTGTGACTCTGCCTCACTTAAGTCCAATTCACCACAAGTCATCACCCACTATTTGCTATTCATGATGTCAGTGGTTTTCACAAATGAAGAGTGGGCAACAACAGGGCGCAGTGCTTTTCCTCCTTACCAGGAGGAAGGGGCTAACCCTTCTGGCTGCCCAAGTGGTCCCATGTCATCCCATGGACTCCATGCATTGCCCCCTCTGCCAACCCCACTCTATCACTCCTCTTTCATCTCTCCCTCTTTACTGCCTCATTGTGTACTGCCTACAAACATGTCCATGTCTCCCCATCCTGAATAAACCCTTACTGTGTCCTTCCATGACCACTAACTACCTTCCTACAGCTCTTCTGCCATTTGTGGCTAAACTCCTTGATAAAAACATCTATGATAAGTGCTCTTCCAATCTTGCTCACAACTTACCATAACACTGTAACTGTTCTCTCCAAAGTTACCAATGATCTCTTTGGTGCCTAATCCAATGGCCTTTTCTCAGTCCTCATTTTCCTGAAACTCTCTGTGGCCTTTGACACTGCTGATCATGCTATCTTCTCTCGAAGATTTTGGGACACCCACCTCCTACCCACCAGACCTCTCCTCAGGCTCATGGATGTTCATTCGGGTCACACTGCTGAACCTTAGATGTTCGTCAGTCCTGAGCCTTCTTCTCCCTCTACACAACTTCACTTGATGGTCTCATCAGCTCCCATGGATTTAATTATAATCTCTATGCAGATGATTCTCAAATCTACCTAGCCTGTCCCAACGACTTTGCGGACCTCCAATCTCACATCTCCAACTATCTTTCAAACATCTCCAGTTCTATGTCCAGAAGGCATCTTAAACTCAACATGTCTACAGCTAAACCCATCATCTTTCTCCTAAATTCTCCTCACCTCCTACCTTCCTGATTACTGTAGAGGACAACAACATTCTCCTGGTCAGGAGTCATCATCCTGTCATCTTATCTCCTCACTCTCTCACCCCACCCCACCAGGTCCAATCTGTTGCCAAGGCCTGAGATTTCACCTCTGCAACATTCCTTGAATAAGTCCCCTTGTCTCTGACACTGCCACTATCCTGGTACAGGCCCTCATCACCTTATACCTGGACTATTACGACAACCTGCTGGTGGGTCTACCTACATCTAGTCTCTCCATTCTCCAGCCCATCTTTCCTAAAGGGCAGGTCTACACACACTTAATAAACCCCAGTGGCTCCCTGTTACCTCCTAGATTAAATACAAAATCCTCTGTTTGGCATTCAAAGCCCTTCACATAACCTATACCCCTACCCACCCTCCCCCAAATCCCACCCTTCTAGTTTTCTTATACCTTGCCCTCTACCAGATGCTCTTCAGTCTAGTGCCAAGGACCTTTGGGCTGTTTCATGTACTAGATACTCCATCTTTCCCTCTGAGCATCTTCTCTGGCTGTAATTCACACCCAGAATGCTCTTCCTTCTCATCTCTTCCCCCTGTCTCCCAAGTTTTCTTCAATTCCCATCTAAAATCTAATCTACAGAAAAATCTTTGCTAACCCCTGTTAATTCTAATGCCTTCTTATTCTTGATTATTCATTGTTTATCATGTATATAGTTCATATGTACATATGTGTTTGCTAATTCTCTCTCCCATTAGATTGTGAACTCCTGGAAGTCAAGGACTACCTTTTACCTTTTTTTGTATCTCCAGCATTTAGGAAAGTGACTGACACACAGTAGGTGCTTAATCAATATTCATTGACCAGCTGATTGAGTCTAACGTTGCTGTTGTCCATCCTTGGCTTTCAAAGAGGACCAATGACATCACAGGTGATGTCTTGACTCAGGCATGAATTGAATTTCAGTGAGACAGAGTTGCACAAAGTCATCAGTCTCATTCTCTCTTCCTTTGAAATCCCCCTGACCCCAGGGCAAGTGCTCTACCCACTGTGCCACCCAGCTGCCCTCATATTTATTTCTTATATCCTTATTATACTCATTAGAATGTAAACTCCTTGAGAGCAGGGATGGTCCCCAGTGGTTGTCATGGTGTCTGACATTGTATAAGCACTTGATTAATGCTTATTGATCAATTGATTGAGTCAGTGTGTATAGTAGAAAGAACACTGGATATGGAATCAGGAGCCCTAGGGGAGATTTCTAGTTCTGACACTAACTAGTTGTTTTTACATTATTGGATTGTTTCAGGCATATCCTCAAGACAGAAACATGTCATGTTTCCTTTATGACCCCATTTGAGGTTTTCTTGGCACAGATATTGGAGTGGTTTGCCATTTCCTTCTCCAGCTCATTTTACAGATGAGGTAACTGAGGCAAATAGGGTTGAGTGAATTGCCCAGGTTCACACAGCTAGTAACCATCTGAAACAAGATTTGAATTGATGAAGATGAGTTTTCCTGACTCCAGGCCTGGCACTCTATCCACCGTGTCACTTAGCTGCTCCTAGATGTCTGTATCCCCACCAACAAATCAAGTAATTTCTTTAAACCTAAGTTCCTTCCACAGTGAAAGGGGGACAGTTTCAATTACCTACTCAGTCAAATATGGACAATGATACTTGAACTACCTACCTCACAAGAGCTTTGAGAGGGGACGACTTTAAATATAAAACTTTAGGGTATTAAGTAAATGTAGATTTTTATGATCTCTGTGGGGGAAGGGAGCTTTTTTGGTCCTCTGGTTCAGAAGGGTGAAATGCATTGTTATAATTACCCTCAAAACTCCAAAGTGAGGCCCCACCAGATTAGAATGTAATTGGGAAATGTCTGAAAAAATAAATACAATACAACACAACATAGATAATGTTAATTTGTAGTTTTCTAAGTCAAGATACATTGTAATTTGAGATTGATAACAATTCCCTATTCCAATTCCCTCATGTGACAGATGAGAAAATTGAAATCAAGGGAGGTAAGCCAATTTTCCAAAGCCACCCAACAGGGCAATGGTGGAGCTGGGGACACAACTAGGGATTCATGAGTTGCTACCTTGTACATTTAACACTGTATAATCCAAATGGTTTTTATCAAAACCATAGTTTACTATTTATTGGTTCATGCCTCATTGGATTTGGTGGTTACAGGAAGGCCAAAGAGTCAGCCCTTAAAACCCACGCATATAAACCTTTCTTCAGTATATTCATTTAGTTTCCTCCCTTTAGTACAGTCTATGAAATAGAGCTGATATTGCTTTGGGATCTGGAAGGACACCAGGGCCAAGGTGCTCATGCTGCTTAGCATTACTAATAATTGTGCAGGACTGTTCCTATAACTGACCAACTCAACAAAAACAATGACAAGGAGTGCATATATGGGTATGACAGATATTCTGTTTTTCTCAGAAAAAAAGTGAGTTCAAAAACAACAACAACAAACTGATAGAGCCCTCTAGGCTCAATAAGCACAAATCCTCCCCAGCCTGTCCTGCTGTAGGGGAGGTGAGACATGTTGGCGTGTTCCCGGACTGATACAAAGCATCACATCCTGGGCTTCTTGTTTTTTCCTCCTCTTTGGGAGAGGTAACAATAATAAGTAAGAGACAATGGCTGCCCTGGGTCTGATCGTATTTGGGACTTAGGGATGTCTCCAGGTCTGTGGATGTGAAAGAGAGAGGACATAAATTAATAGGAAGAAATGGGCTGGGGCGTGTAGGCCCACAAGTGACTGACCTGCGGTGTGACTGTATGCTGGGAGGGGAGGAAGTGAGCTGCCTATCCCAAGGTGTCCTGTTGTGTCCTAGAATGATCACAGCTGCATCAGAGCTGTGTCATACCCAGAAACTGTTAGAAAATCCTCATCCATGGAGGGAGAAACAACAAGATATGGTAGAATTGTCATTCAGGACTTCAAGACTAGGCATTTGTCTCATTTCTTAGGGCCTTGGTTTCCTAACATGTAAAAAGAGTGTTTTAGATGAGATGGGAACAAAGTTAGTGTGAAAACTGTTCAAACATTGGTTTCACAGCCTCCCATCCATAGGGGATATTCTATAGACATGATCAGAGATTGATGGGGACAATAAGGGATAAGATAT